ATATATATATATATATATATATATATATATATATATATATATATATATATATATATATATATATATAAATAAATAAGAAATTTATATTTTTAATGTTAAAAACTAAATTTAATTTTTAAATATACAAGCTGAATTGATATAAGAAAAATTAAATTGTTGCATCGTTCTTATCTGTTTCGTATTTAAATTTGTTCATGTTTTTTCATAATTTCTTTAACACATGTTTTTCATATTTCTATGTATTATTTGGATTTTTCACTAAATTCTATAAACAAAAATAATTTTTTTTATTTTTACTTTTCAAAATTTCACATAAAATTTTAAAATATTTTTTGAAAATAAATAAAAAAGAAACTCTAAATTTAAAAAATATATTGAAAAATTAAAAACTTGTCAGAAAAAGGAATACTGTGGTGGACAGTTGTCGATTTGTCATTGTTCATATGAAAATTAATAATTTGACATTTTTAAATAATAAAGATAATATGTAATATATAATTTAACACAAACAGCTAAGAGATTGAAATTCAACGGAACAAGTAATATCAGGACAAAGCCACGTTTATTTTGTCTTTTTTTAATGAAAATCTTAGCCAATAATTCAATGTTTCATCTTATAAAATTCTTAATTTTAATGTTAATTTGTATTGAAAAATGGAAATTTCATAAAATTAAATCTATTAATTTAACTTGTTCAGTGACCTCACAACACGTGTTTAAATATATTAATTAAACAATAGTTTAAAAATTAGAACATTGTGTACCGTGTTTTCTGCTAGTTCGCGATTTGGAATTGGAATTGAGTATGTCATCAACTCGAAAATGAGAGGTCCACCGTATTCCTTATCGTGGTAGAGACTTGTCTAGACTGTTTGAGTTGCAACGATGGCAGTGGCGACAATGGAACAAGCATGATTCAAATCGACAAACAAGTTGGATGTTCGAGGTAAATTGAGGTACGATAAATTTTAGTGTCAATGTGAACCTAGTGTCACTAGCTTCACTGCCCATCGCCCCCATGGATCGAAGACTTCAATTTGAGAACAGTTGACAACACACAATCTGCAAACAAGGTAGACAATGATCAAAGTAGCTCGAGCCACAATAAGTTTTAGCGTCGATGTGAACCTGGTGTCGTTGGCTTCACTGCCGATCACCTTCAAGGATCAAAGACTTCAATTCAAGAAAAATTGGCAACAAACAATCTACAATGTCAACAATGAGGATGGATAATGGTCAGTTTAGCAGAGAACTAATGGTCTAAACCACAAATTCCTTGCGTTTTCAGAAGCCTGTTTTGAAAATCCAGCTGAATCAGTCCATGAATTAAGGCACCTGGTACAAAGTTCAGGTAAAGTGATCCCACTTCCAAAAACTCCAAATGAACAAGCAAGATTAAATTAAAGAACAGCATGACGAGTAGTAGAAAAGGCAGCAGATACAACTTTATGAAGATTCTTCCCGTCCTGATTCTGGCCATACTCAGACAAATTTGATTCCAAAGCCAATTCAGTCGAGAATGCAGTTAATATACACAAAGGAATTAATAATGAACGTACAGAATAAAGGGACCATACAGATCAAACAATCCTCCAGTTAATAACATAGCTCATTATTGCTGATAATACTCGGGGTTGAATGCAAGCGCCTCTCGATAGATCAGCTCTTTCATCTGTTCCTCCGTAAGTGCGTGCTGCTCGAAATCAAAGCTGAAGGGAGTCAGGCAGACAGGCTCATCACTAATGTCATGCAATGATGTCAAATAAGGATGAGCTAGAGCATCTTCAACTGCAAAAACATACACAGATGTTCATAGACAGAGCCTATCAGTAAGAATGGTTATTAGAAGAACCAAATGTTAGCATATCTGCCGCCATGCAGAGACAGGTCACAGTTTACATGATGTTCTTGATATTTTGAAATCAGACAATGGTGAACTAACCAAAGAGAGAATATGTTCGAAGAAACGGGGTGAACTGACCGAGAATGGTCATCTACATAGTTCAGAAATCAGACAATTCAAACAGACAAGCACCCGAACGAGGAAATCAATCATTTAGGATTTATATTTCGTTGAAGAGATTGATGAATTATTATTGCCCTATGATCAGACAACAGGATAGGAACTTAACAAGACTGCAAGCAATTGCACTAGTAACTCACCGGTAATTCTCTGTCCTGGATCAAATGTTAACATCTTCTCCACCAGATCAATGGCTGCAGGATGGACATGTGGAAACTTTCCAGTAAATGACTGCCGATGGTAATAAGGAAGTTGGCGTATGTATCTTTTAGCATTCTCGTTCAAGAAACCGAGTTCAGCCTCTGATGGAGTGCCAATCAGCTGCATGATAGAGCAGAGCAGAGCAGAGCAGACTAAACCAGTAAACAAATGGTTACCACTGAGAACACGAATTGTTTGCGAAGACGAAACCAAACTATCAAAATTAAAAACTAAAAGATTGGAATGCAAAAGTAAGCATGTAGCACCTGCTTCAATCGAATCAGCAACACACAAAAGCATATTAATTTTCTCTTTTTTTTTTATTCATATAAAAGAAAATATATCATTGAAATCAACTTTCTCTGATGAGGTGACAGAGATATGATTATGCTAGTGTAGTGAACCAAATCATGAAGAGTATCAAAGTACCTCCAAAAGCAAGCGTAACTGATGCACATGATCTCGACCGGGAAACAAGGGTTTCCGATCCATCAGTTCCATAAAAATACAACCAACAGACCAGACATCGATAGCTGCTGTGTAGTCAGATGAATTAAGTAAGAGCTCTGGCGCGCGGTACCATCTTGTAACCACATATTCTGTCATAAAGTCGGTTTCAGAAGTAACACGAGCAAGTCCAAAATCGCATATTTTCAGGTCACAATTGGCATTTAATAACAGATTGGAAGGCTTCAAATCTCTGTGCAGAACATTTGCTGAATGTATGTACTTCAATCCTCGAAGAATCTGGTACAGGAAATACTGCATGATGCATAAAGACAGTAATTATTTTATGTAGAAATAGAAACTAATGGTAATATCTCACTAAAGGATGTTTAACATGGCCACAGGCTGCTTTATAAGCATGATTGGATGAGTATGAAGGCACAAAAAAATTCCATGCATGTTTAACACTAGGTTATTAGTCTTCAATATCAACATCTGCCCAACGTCTTGAAAGATCCAATGCCAAAAGTTACCAAGTTTCTGTAACGGCCCACATCCATCGCTAGCAGATATTGTCCTCTTTGGGCTTCCCCTCAAGGCTTTAAAATGTGTATGCTAGGGGAAAGTTTCCACACCCTTATAAATGGTGGTTTGTTCTCTTCCCCCGCCAATGTGGGACATCACAATCCACCCCCCATCGGGATCCAACGAGCAATCGATGTGGGACCGCCCCCAAATCCACCCCCTTTGGGGCCCAGCGTCCTTACTGGCACACCGTCTTGTGTCTACCCCCCTTCGAGGAACAACGAGAAGGCTGGCACATCGTCCGGTAACTTGGCTCTGATACCATTTGTAACGGCTCAGATCCACCGCTAGCAGATATTGTCCTCATTGAGCTTCCCCTCAAGGCTTTAAAATGCGTCTGCTAGGAGAAGGTTTCCACACCCTTATAAATAGTGGTTTGTTCTCCTCCCCAACTAATGTAGGACATCACAGTTTCATTCTTTAATCCCAACATCAATGGAATTAAACTAGAGCGCATTTGTTGAAAACACAAAGCATGAAATTTCGCAAATACCATCCATATCCCTACGCAAAGAAGAACGTATGATATCACAAGA